CTATTCACTCATTATTTTTTTATTTTTTTTTTAATTCGTTTTTCTTAATTTATCATTCTTATTATTATAATCACTGAACTGGTAGACAAATACGTATGTTTTCATATCTATGATATCTACAGCAGATCTTACACACTATCATATATATTAATCAAATCACAAATAATGATATTCATTATTTTTCAAAATTATAACTTGATCAATTTTCCCAAAAAAAAAAATTAACACCCTTTATTATTGATGGCTAAGATCTGTAATAGGGGCCTATGTTGCTAAGTGTTTGTAATGGGGTGGGGGAGGGGAGCCCGAAAACTTGAACTTAAAACTTACACTCACTATATTCTTCGAAAATATATGTGAGTTCCATAGAACGAGCGAGTTTCTTTTTTTTCTCTTTCCACTTAATATCATTATTTTTCTAACGAAAAACAGCTCCCTCCATATTATACTATTCTTAATTAGAAGGATCGCCTAATGTATAATGAACATATTTTTCTGAGAAAGAGCATTTCATCATTGAGCTCTTAATCCATGTACTCATTTGTCAAGACATCTATGAGCAAGTGAAACGTAAACTGAAATATTTTCGTGCTTTATTTATTTCATTGTGAAATGTTTACATTATCTCTTATAAGCTTTTACTTTTTCTTTTTCGTTTCGACTTAAAATTCGCTTTAACGGACGACAAAAAATGATTATTATCGTGTAAAATATCATTTTTAATCTATGTTCGACAGAAAAATTTATAGGATGAAATTAGTAGACATTCGTTTCATACACGAAGACTTTTCGATTAAGTNATATCATACAGGCCCACTGGGAGAGTCGTCATCACAAACAATGTAATACTGATGAGCATTATCAATAGGAATTGCTTGTCGAGATAGATACGACGACGCGCGCATGTCTCGTTTCGTATGGCAGATTGTCGAGTCAAACGTTGAAAGGTATCAAGAGAAAAGATGAGTAGACAAATAACGGGAGCAAGAATTTGAACGCACGAAAAGAGAATAGGCCATATTCGACGGAAAAATTGAAAATATGTAGGATTCACCATTCTGGCACCGCATACTGTCATGATACCCGCTGGCAGTCGTCCAAATAGTTGAGGTAGAAGAAAGTGACTATTTAAACCAGCGGCAAAGATAAGTATGCCTATTGTTACCAAGAGGGCATTTCCTCGTGTGCACACTTGTTTTGATTTGAATGGAAATCGTACGCGTTCCCATCGATCAGCTGATATTGCCACCAGTAACCATGAGCTACAACACATGAATGTTGACTGAACGAATGTACGAAAACGGCATACAGCTGATGGGTCTAGCGATGTATCGGGTTGTCGAAAACCTGTATTAATAAAATCATAGATACTGACAAGAAGATAAAGGGAATCAGAGATTGTGAGTGCAACGAATAGACAGCTGGTCGATACGTGACGAAGAGTGGGTCGAAGAAAGATGAGTAAACTGTTCGTATGACCAAAGATGCCGAGAACGTAGAGGAGAGCATAGCCATACAGTGCAACGTTGCTTTCCAGATTTGTTAATGTTGGCATTCCCGGTGGATGAGGAGGTCCGCCACTGCCGCCCGGCGGATTGGGTCCACCGCTTCCGGGCGGCGGTCGAGAAGTGTTCATCGTTCTTCTTACAAGTGTAAAATGACAGAAAGATCACTGGAATGAATTGTGCATATAACAAGTACCATCCAGACCCAGCGATCTGCTAGTCACAAATGAAATGTTGCTATGTATGACAGAAAGGATTATGATTTTTCTTTTCTCTGTCTTATGGGTATGATATTCAAAGACAAAAGCACGATCTTATTGACTCATCACCCAATTTTCTCCCAGCATGTAACAGATCTCTACGTATTCCGCGTTTTTCTCACTCAGCTTTTACCATTTGAAAATTCAATTCTTTACAAAATCGTATGAAAAGAGCTCTTTCAACAAATAACTAGAGAATCGTATCTGATGAACACTATTATATCCCATTTACAAAACTAATTATCTCTTTCCTTCTGACTAAGCAGAAACCAGACTACTGTAATAGACGTTTTCTCCCTTTTCAGGTGTATTCTTATTAACAGAGCTCAGAAGAAGATTCTCGTATAATATTCTCTCAAAGAAAAAAGAAGTTCCTTTTTCTATTAGCTCGTTCTCCTCTATTCTTTATTATTATTTCTTCATTTACTTGTCCTTGAATAGAGCACAAGTTAAACTACACATGTATATATGCAGTCCATTTTACTGGCTTATTGGCTCAGATTTGTTCGACATATACAAAAATGTCTCATTTTGGTGATACTGATATACCACAGAAAGCTAGACAATCTTATATTTCTCATTCTTTAACTGAAATGCAAGAGAGAGCCAATCAATAGTTTCTTGTATATTATGTATGTAAGTTATACTGTTCTATACTTGTGTATGATATAATTATTTAATAAATATATGCTTATAAAATAGCATAATTCTTTCTTGAAAAAACTATTTTCTGTCTTCAAGAGATTATTATGCGTGTTCGTTCACTATTACAAAAAGAAGACATTTTTGTATATGTAGAACAAATCTGAAACAATAAACCAGTTAAATGGACTGCATATATACATGTGTAGTTTAGCTTGTGCTCTATTCATGGATATGTGAATGAAGATATAATAATACAGGATAGAGGAGAACGCGCTAATAGAAAAAGGAACCTTTTTTTTCTTTGAGAGATTATGAGGTTCTAGTAGCTAATCTTCTTGTATATAGAATTGAAAACGCCTCTCATTCTTCTATTACGCATCAACCATTGTAGCAAAAGACCTTTGCAACAGTTCGCTTTCATTGAAACGATATGGAAAAACATTTTTCTCCTACTTGGTAATAAATCTGGTGATGTATAGCCCGTCCAAAAAGTCCGTGCGTGTGACTGTTTTTTGAATAACTCGAGAACGCAAACAGCTAGAGACCTGTAGCTTTCACCAATCGAAAGAGGAGGAGTTAGGGCGTCTTTTTCTCTGATAATGTATCAGACGAAATTCTTTTAAAACTGATCATTTTTGAAAAATATAGAAAAGAATGCATGAAAATGACATACAATACACGTGAAGTTTCGATTNTCGGAAAAATGAAGCAAAAGCCACAACTGTTTATAATCAAGTCTGTGATCCACTGTCTTGTGAATCTAAGAATGAATTTATATTATCGCATACAAAAAATGAATTTTTTTAAACTTTATCATTAGAAAATAATTTTTTCTTTATCAATTCCGGTATTACATTTTGGTCGTGAGTGAAATATAGCTGTTTCTGAGAAGAAAAAATTTCGTAAGAATTATATTTCACTTAAGACGAAATAATAATACCGAAATTGAAACAAAAAAATAATTTTCTAATGATAAAATCCAAAAGCTCAATTTTTTGTATGCGACCACCTAAATTCATTCTTAGATTCATAAGATAGCGGGTCAGTAGGTTCATACCCTGAGTTTACCGGTAAAAGACGAAATTATCGCCGGTATATTGCCGGTATACCGCCGGTTTTTTTGCAACTACCGGCAGTACCGGCGGTAGAGCGCACATTATACCGAACGGTCAACCGGCGGTATACCGCCGGTTTTTTTCCGGTTCTAATCACATGGGTTGCAGTCCATTGTTAACTCAGGTCTTTATGCTAGTGTAAAAATATCAGCTAAATCGATTTGAGTGATTGACCAAGATTCTGTTGAAAGTGGTAGTTGCTTTAGTATTAGACAGCATAGAATATGCGAATGTTTATGGTCTTATCTTTTTTTACCGTTAATTACATTTGTTTTTCGACATGTATACATCTTATGTTACATTTTGTTTTATTTTCCTTGTGTCCTTCGAATCTGTGCACTATTAGAACGTTTCGCTTTTTGTGTCGTTGATAAAGTCAATATTTCATTTATTTTATTTCAACAGAAACAAGCAGAATTCTTGACAGGACTACTGTAGCGCCACCCACGATAGAGTAACAAGGTAACGAGTTAGTTCATCTCGCTATCTTTTTCGCTCACACTCAATTCCTACAGCTTACTGAATATCATCTGTTGTTTTTTTCCTACGCTAGACAGATTCTTTATTTTTTATGTTCTCTTTTCTTTTCTTCTTTTTCTGCTTTTGTGTGTCTTTCTTGCTTTCTTCCTATGCATACCTGAGCAGTTTTAATGAATAGCGAACTCCGATTCACAAAAATACAAACAACTTAAAAAAGTAAACTAGTATAAAAATATTCTATACAGACTAAAAGAAATATTTTTCTAATGTACCAAATTCAATGCGACAAATATGACTCTAGTTTTTTTGATAGAAATCATAGAACATAAATGAATTTAAGTGTAGAGTAAAAAAGGCCATCTATCAACTTCAATTTGTTTTATTTTGTATATATTCACGTCAGAATTTCTAATCTTAGTGCCATAGATTTTTCAATAAAACAAGACATATACACAAACTTTTCCTAATAAAATAATACAGTCAAATCAAGTAATACCATTCATTATCAAATTTAATTCACCCAAGTAAAATGCAAGCATGAAAAAAATAATTTGTTCATTTAAATTTAAGCATAATGTATACTCAAAGAACCATAAATGCTGAGAGAGAGAAAAGGAGGAAAAAACCACCATATTTAAACTTCATTCCGTCCGGTAATGTTTTTCTCCTACGAACAAAATTCTTTTCATCGTTATTTCTGTTTGATATTGTGCAACAATCTATTCGAAAAAAGTTTTTTTTTTTATGTGATATTATCTTTGTTGAATATATTTCAATGAGCTTTCCCTAACGTCCTACAGTGAAGATCAAAACATCGTTCTTTTCTTATGAATATTTCTTGTATTAATGACACTTACACAATATACAGAAATAAAATTTTTAAAATCAAATCATAAACACAAAGCTATTTTAAAAGTATGACTCTTAATTTTTAAAAAACAGAACAAATACATCGTTAAACAGAACACAGATGAAGAAAAAAAATTGAAATCAATTCATACTGTACAATAACGTAAATTACAGAAATTTGAAGGTGGCAAGAAATAAACATAAAAACTATTACAATTAACAACTGAAATAGGCCAAAAGAATAGACAGGCTGAGATAAATGTAGTGAAACATATATTTCCACTAACTATTGTTTCTATTTTTGATGGTAATGTCCCATTGAACCATCCTGACAGGAAAGCACCACAATGATTTACTCCCGGTGACGTTAGAGGTATAATAGTACCTCCTGTGCCCATAAATCGAATCCATCTACCACCAATACTTGTATTGAATAAGGGTCCATTATCACATGCACCACCTATCCCAGATGTAGCTATATTGCGCGAAGGATCGTTGACAACTGTGTATGATGAACAAGGTGAATCATCACTAGCTCCACCATTACCGACATTGTAGATTGCTGATGTTGTTATCATTGATATTGTTGTGTCTAAACATTCAAATCAATGAATTATAATATTATTCAGAGAATAAAATGTTCAGCAAGTAATATTCGTACTAGAATATGAATTTACATTGCTTGCTGCTATCGATGGTGTTCTTTTATTTATTGTATTCTGTGAATTCAGAAGAATAATCATCATAAGGATCATGGTAATTATCAGCAAAATCAGTAGAGTAATAATACTAATGATAATTATTTTTGCCCGTTTGCTATTACAATATTCTCCAGAGTCGGTTGAAAACCTTATCAATTGAAGAAAATTCTTTTTTTCAAACAGAAAAAAATCTATTTCAAAATAATTCTTACTTAAAACTTGTTAAGGAGTGTTGTGAATGATTATCCCACGATGATGAGATAAGCTCAGGATAGATTTCTTCATAACGCATTGTTGAAGAAAGATCACTTAAACTACTTAGCAATTGGGCTCACTGTAATAGTACGATTGTTCGCTGTATACTAATGTAAGAACATAGTTCGCCTGGTAATTTATAGAATTATTAATAGGCAAGAAAAAAAATCAATATTGTAATTATTTAGTTTTTGATTATTTCGAAAAAAACATCTGCTTTCAAGAGAGACGACTAACAAGGTTTCTTTCTTTTTCTTTCTTTTCTCTTATGTTCTGCTATTCTTAAACTTTGGTCACAAGCACGCCTCTTCATCAATTCATTCGAAATACTATTCATATAGACGAATTATGAGTACGAAATCATACTGAAAGAATGCTTGAATAAAAAAATCTTCTGTATTAATTTATATTCGTTCTACGTCACCTACTTTTCAAATATAGAGAATTCTGCATTGTTTGTCAGCAACACTGAGAATAATACATTGATTACATTGAGTCGGAGATGTAATTTTTATGAATTCAAACAGAAATAGAAATCTTTTTAAAAAATAATCAAATATAATGAGCTTTATTCTTTATTATTGATTTTATATTTCAGCTTTGGATTCAAGAAAATAAAAATCAATACTATCAAAAGCAACTTATTTTCAAGTTTATATGAACGATGACTGAAATATTCCATAAGAAATAAATTCAGAAGAAATTGAATTTCATATTTGAATAGAGTTAAAATTATTATCTGAAAGTTAATATAAATAAATAGAATTATCGGTTTGTTTATTTTATGTTAGGGTTTGATTATCAGAATGCCGATCAATAGATACTATGATAAGTCAGCAATATTATAGCCAAGAATAACATGATAAACAATAAAGTTTTCATCATTCAAAAACCATACTCATGAAACAATACAATAAAATGTTATTCTAATTACATAACAGTATTTTTTGTTCGAAGAACGAAATGAGATGCGGTTTTACGAAATGGTTTGATGCATTGCATTCTTTAGATCTTTTTAATAATTGATTCTGCCTTTGTCTAATGAATGAGAGGTGACTTACTACGTATCGCAGTTTATTTTTTTTCAAAAAAAAAAAGATATAAAATAAAATTGCATTAAACAAAAAATATTCTAGAAATATCAATTTTCCATATATTGTCGGATCTGTCAACAAATCGAGTTTATATCAAAAATGCAAGTCTGCACAACTATTCCACATAGTTTACAAGGGAAAGAATTTTGTTTTTTGTGAGAAAGTTTCAAAAAAAGAAAATGACAATCAAGATAAATAGTCTCACATTATGCAGTGATGGACGAGACTTTTCGTACGGTTTTCAAATCAAATTATTTTTCTCTGAAAATGTTTCGGGAACAAAGCAGAATCCGTATGGACGAATAGAAGAAAAATGGATTACATTTTGGTAAATGAAGTTTTTCAAAAGAAAACTCTATATCATGCAAGTTGCCTACTTTACGATAGATATGATTTGATACACACATGTCAACTCTCTATCTCCACATTTACTTTTTGTTTGTGAATTACAATATTAGATCATTGGGATAATATCTCAATACCAGTGAAAATCATCTTCAGAAACACTATCCCAACGATCTAATATCTTGGCTCAAAAGAGATTCTGATTTGTATGCTCACAAAAATAAGCGTTAATCTCGTTCAAAAATGAATAAAGGGCTACTTTGACTAATCGTCAGTATATATATATGATTCCGTCAAGTTAAAACTATTTTCGAGTTTGATTCAAACGAATAGCCTCTTATATTGTGTTTTTTAAGTGAAATATTAGACAGATTAAGTTTTGAATCAAATGAAGAAAAGAATTTTTTTGTACTTGTAAACAATTGAATTCTATTTTTGGGAAAAAAGAGACACACACATTGTAAGAGAAAAAGCATACATTTCTCATTATAATCACATTGCATTTGTTATTCTTTTTTGTTTACGAATGTCTTTCTTCGATATGGCAGCCATATTTTTTTATTTGATTTTAACCAAGAGTTCACTTTTAGTAGACGAAAAAGAAAAGACTTTTCTTTCATATTGATTGGTTATTTGATAATGAAAAAAAAGACCAAAAAGAAAAAAATTAAGATATTTTTTGCCATAAATAGACATTGAATAAAATCATGTTGTGCAATAAAGTGCATTACAAATACTCAAAGGTAGCAAAAAATAAATACAAAAATTTGTTACGATTGACAACTGAAGCAGAGAAAAAAATAGACAGGTTGACGTATATTCATCGAAACATAAATTCCCACTAACTATTGTTTCTATTATTGATGATAATGTTCCATTGAACCATCCTAAGGTAAAAATAGTATCTTCTGCAACCATAAATTGAATCCATCTACTACCAATACTTGTATTGAATAACAAGATGTATCATCCACTAGCTCCACCATTGCCAACATCATAGATTGTTGATGTTGTTATCGTTGGAATTGTTGCGTCTAAACATTGTTCAATAAAATCAATTATTTCATAGAGAATTATTTTTCTAAAAAGATTGTTTTTACTTCAATATAAACTTATTATTGATGTATTGTTTTCGTGTGTTGTTGGATGAGAATTGAGAAGGGTGTACGTGTAGATCTTCACGCCATCAAATGTGTATTCAGATCAACTACACCCACGCTCTTGTGACATGATATGCGCTAACCAACACGGTCAAGTGGCAAAACGTCAAAAGACAAAATATAAAAAATAATTTTTCTTAAAAGCCATCTTATTATTGTAGAATCTACAGATTTCTTCCTCACCCACACAATCAGATTGCATGTCCATTGTCCTTTCATGATTGGTTCACGAAAAGCTTGAGAAAGATTCTAATACTGTGGCGGCAAAGTTTAAAATGTTCGATATTTTTTCGGTTGATGTTTTGCAACTTTACCAAAAACAACAAATCTATTGTTTTTTAGTTATTCAATAATACTAAAAGATAGAACATCTATGGAAGAGAACCAATAAAGCTAATGAAAAACACATATATGAAAGCTTAAATATTATTCAATTTATATACGATTGTTTGTGACAGAACGTTGAGTTTAGAGAACAATAAAGTCATTATTAGTACAACAATATTGATCATGGATGCAGTGTAAATTCTTACTCTATAACAATAATATTTATTCGAACAATAAAGACGAATAATCCTACCAGCACTACTTCCAGATATACACGTTCGACCATCAACTATACGTTCTACATAAAAAAAGTTTTGAGCCCAATCAACTTTACCGTTTAGGTGAAAAATAGGGAAAACTTCAAATTTTTGTTTGAATATCTGGTTTTGAGAAAAACGCAAAGAAAGTTGCACTTTTTAGCTTTTTTAGCACAAAACTGAGTATTTTTTCGAGTTGTTAACATGTAAAAAGGTGCTGTAGTCTTCTTAAAATGTGTTCATTAGATAGAGAACATCTACATACCAAACACAAAAAATAAAAAAAGAAACAACTGAAAATTTTGGATTGGGAAAGGGTGAGGTCCCCTTAATTGTATTATTTTGAAAGAATACAACATTTTCAAAACAATAAACGTCTGTCTTATATATTCAAATTAATCTTAGCATATCTTTCTCCCAATCTATCAAATTAATATAATCTTTACTTCTTCATAATGTTCGAGATTTTACATAATATTTTGTTTTCTTAGCACATATTTGTTTGTAGATATGTGAGTTTGTTAGGCTGTTCGTGTTGTTTCTTCTAACGCTCACATCCATTCAACTTATTTTGTGTCATTTTTTCCGTTAAAATGAAAATGTTTCAACACATATTTCGATAAAGTCAATTTGTTTTTTTCGAATATTACTGAGATAGATAAATGTTATTTTTCATGTTAGCAATAGAAAGAAAAAAGCACGTACAACAGAAATAAAAATGGTCGACTGATATGATCCAAGAAACAAGCTAAAACTTGTGCACCATTTGTCAGTTCAATAACAACACTTGTTCGTTCTGTATTCACCATTGGATTAAATCCAAACGTCATGAGATAATCGCCAGATAAACTATTTTGATTGATGATTGTTGAATTGTTGGTACCTGGATAAATATTTATCTCTTGCAATTTGTAAATCTTAATTGGATCAAGTCCTTTCAATCGAATAGACCGAGTACTACCGGCTCGATATCGATTGCGTATCAAATATGTGAACCAAACCCCATGATTCTGTTTGTCGTTGACATACATTAATGAGGCAATATCACTCTCTGCTCGATATGGCGATACCAATCGATAGAGATCAGCGTACCAAATAGTATTTTTAAGGCGAGTATAGGTACGAAGGACTTGTTGACTAAATAAGAGCTCATCAGAATTGAGTTTGCTTACCACAATATCGTATCCTAGTTTACCCATCATCGCCACATCGGTACGAAATTTTAACGATTGTTTTCCCCAATCAGTCACATGATTACATGTAGCAATCGCTGGAAAGAAGAACGAATAGTTCCATTGAATAAATACTCGCTCAACCCCATCTGTATTGTCACTTGGCCAAAATTCTGTGAAATATTGAAGAGCACCATAATCGACTCGTCCTCCACCACCTGAACATAACATCATCGGAATCGTAGGATATTTGTTTCGTAGACGATCGAGAACATTGTATAGGCCATGAACATAATCAATGTACAAATGAGATTGATGAGAATTACTTTTTGAATAGGCATTGTAAATAACAGAATTACAATCCCATTTGACAAATGCTAACATTGGATGCTTGGTAAAGAGACGATCGACTGTATTGTAGACAAATTCTTGCACTTCTTGGTTTGACATGTCCAGTACGAGCTGATTCCGGAAATAGTATTCGGATCGATTGGGTAATTTAATTACCCAGTCAGTATGGTTTTCGTAGAGTTCACTCTTTGGATTGACCATTTCTGGCTCAATCCAAATGCCGAATTTGATTCCTATAGTTGTAGCTTCGCTTATCAAATGGGTAATGCCACGCGGCAATTTTTGAACATTTTCTTGCCAATCACCTAAACCAGCTTGATCATTATTTCTCGGATATTTATTACCAAACCAACCATCATCCAGAAGGAATAAATCGACACCGAGTTTCTTACCATCTTTCATCAATGAAGTCAACTTCTCTTCATCAAAATCAAAATAAGTTGCTTCCCAATTGTTGAGTAAAGTCAAACGATTATTTTCGCCCATAGGAATACGATATTTTCTAGCCCAACGATGCCAATTTCGACTAGCCAGGCCTAGACCACGATATGAATAAGTAAAAATAAAACTAGGCGTTACAAATTCCTTATTAGGAACCAAATAATATTCCGAAGCGTATGAGTTTATGCCGGCAATGAGACGCATATTATATAGCGGATCGATTTCGAATTGCAGTTGATAATTGCCTGACCAAGCGAGCGTACCAGAGAACACCTCTCCATAATCATCATTCTCGTTGTTGATCGGTTCATTCAGTGACAAGAAAAATGAGGGCGCTTGAAAAAGATCAGCTCGACTTCCTAGTTTCGTATCCAACACTTTCATGCCAGCAGTGAGTTGAACTTGTTCCGGTTGCATTTCTTGTGCCCAATCGCCATGAAAATGAGTGAGATGGTAATTATGAGCTGATGTGAAATAGAGATTAGCTGAACTATACTTTTGCAAGCGTACAACATTGGTTTCCATATGTTTGATACTTGTCCATTGTTCGATGATATTTTCCTTGCAATACGCTCGATAGTAAAGAATTACCTCGAATGGATAGACAGTATCTTTGAGGTAGATTGCTGTTTGTTTTATCTCATTTGCTTGATTTGTTGTATTCTGCTGATGACGAATATATTTCAAGTCCAACGATGGATTTCCATCGGCATGAACGACTTGTATAGCAGGTTCGAGCAAATTTCGTGTACCACTAGGTGTATAAGCCGAACTATAGAGTCCTGTGTAGTCACCATTTTGTTGTTTGGCATCATAGCTAGGAATCGATGCGTATTCTGCACTGTTATCAAGTCGCTTTCCGATATAAACGACCAAAGGATCACGATTTTCATTAATTCGAATGACGAGTGCTGTATATTCGGTTTCAATTAGAATATGAATCGTTTCACTTTGTTTAGCTAAAATATCGAAGCGAATAATTCATGATATTCTTATCTTTCAAGGCCGAAAAAATGAACATGTATTAAATAAAATTAGAAAAAAGCATGGTTTCAACCTACATGCAGTAGTACAGTGAACTTTTTCAAATATGCAAAAAATAATAATTAAAGAAACATAGGTGTGGCAAGACATCGCCAATCGATTTCGTCGTCGCCAATGATTACCAACGAAATAGTAGATCTTTAAAGAGTACGTATGCAAATACTACAATTGAAAATGCAACTCAATGAAGATATTTGCCAATTTGTATGATCACCAGAGTCAGATAAGAACGGCTATTAAAAATATCGCTGTTTGAAAGTTGCTATGTGATGCATTATATCTCGCTGCATCATAAAATAGTCGAATATTCATTTTTATGTCTGTACATGCAAGCTTAGAGATACATTTACAACACAGTGAAGTACTGTTATTGTTCTGTTTTCGATTGTATTTCGATAATAAATGTTGATAAATATATGACAATTTGCAAAAATTCTTCAAAATAGAAACACATTCCGAGTCATAATATAATTTTGGCCACATCTTATTTGAACAGAACGGATTCAAGAGCTGAAAATTAGACTCAACATTCTTTAAAATATTCTACAGATTTTCTACTCCTCAAAACGACTGTCAATGGTAATTCCAATACACTATTATCTCTAAGAGACTCTCGCATGTTTGTGATAAATTTAAAGCTCAAATCCTTGGCATTGAAGCATCGGTTTTATATCTACTTTTCGAAGAAGGCATTTTTAAAACTGGATTTTTCTTGTCACTTCTTCTAATTAGTGTAGCTGTTGCAATTTTTCTTTTGCACGATCGAGAGCTTTGCTAAGCGCATTAAACTTTGGAACACGACATTGTCCGACTCAATTCTCTGGAATTATTGACTACTCTAAAAATTCGTTTTCAATTGTGTTAAATGTTTTAGATATCCCAAAATATCGTTATCTCTACTTATTTTCTCCAAAGATCATCCAGATCCATGGCACGATGTTTTTCTATTATTTCTTGCCATGCTAATGCGCTAGCAAGGATTGATCTTTTTCTCACTAATCTAAAACTATTGCATCTTCATGCTCGAAGGCTGAATCAAAAATACAACTTTACGCATTGCCAATCAATTGATGACAATATTATCGTTACTTCCTTTATATTCAGAGGTTCATTGTCAAAAGTCTGTCTTGCCAAAGTATTATTATCGAGCTTCAGGGAACTCAAAATTGTTTACTTTCACGATTCATTTCTATTCATATATAAACAAAAAAACAATCTTCTTTTTGATTACTTTTTAAAAGACTATATATACTTACAAATTTTTTTATCGGTTTAACAAATCACCAGATTAAATTCTGATACGTTGAACCCAATGTGTTGATAAATATGAAAATGTAAAAGCATATGATTATTTTATTCCATATCCATTTGCTCGTAATGATAGAAATGAGGAAATATTTTCAATTGATCGATAAAAAGCTTCTATATATTTATTATCATCAGTTAAAAGTAATCCACTATTAAATTTGATATTTAGTAAATTTAAGATTTGTTTATCGAACAGAACAACGTTGTTGTTGACTCTTTTCTAATGGATTTCCTCATTTACATTCATGCTTATTACTTCATGCTTCTTATGAAATTGAAAAACAATGAACTTATTCATTGAATCTTCAATTATTTCAGATATTTCGGATATTCGTGTTTAGATGAAGATTCTTGATGTTTGTTGAAACTTTATGTATTTCAAAATTGAACTTCATGGATGAAATAAGCAAGAAAAAACAATTGTTATTTAAGCCAAATAAAAAATATTCAGCCCTTCAGCAGCTGACTCTTTCTCCTTCTAGTTCAATAACATGTGACTTTATGATTTCAATACCTTTTTTGTATATAATCTTAACTATTTTTCACTCAACCCTAAATGTTAACGATCAAGTGATATATCTGTAAATATACTAACTTCTATTCTTGAATATCGTATGCTCAATTATAAAGAATTTATATTAATATTACCAAGGGAGAAAAGAGTATTTCTAAGTATTTCTGAAATACAGAAATATTTAGAAATACACTTTTCTCCCTTGGGCTGAGACTTTGCGACAAGTTCCGCCTAGAAAGAGTACGCAAGAACAAAAGTATATAAACGAAAGAGCTACTGTGTAAAATAATATCCCAAATTCTTCACTTCCGCGGGAAAGCGTTTGAGATAAGGACGTAACAACTCTTTGTAGAATACTAATAACAATAATTTCTCAATTATTATTGAAATAAAGACGTATTTCAAGCATCGAAGAGTTACTTTACGCAGAAGCTGATTGTGGATCTTTTTATGCCAACAATTTTCCTCCACATAGCTTCCATTGCGCGTAGCGTTATACACAGTTATTTCCAAAAGTATTTTTTATTTCTGTAGAACTTCCATGGGAAGGATGAATGTTGGTGTGGATGTAGGCATTGCCTTTTCTAACGCCCACACCCACATAAACTAAGTATTTGAGCCATTTTCTTTGACGCAAATGATACAAGAAACATGCAAACATTGCCAATATCACCAATCATTGAAAATATGTAGTGATTTGAAATTAAGAGATAGCAAACATTTGCATAGAATCCGAAGTTATCAAACAAATGTCCATCACTAACTTTTCCAGAAGGCTTAATAATAGTTAGTAAAAGAAATCAAGTCTATTGAAGGTAGCTCTTGAACGACAATTGTTTTATGCAAAAAAACCTCTCTAAATTAATCATATCTGTTAGCTGAGTACTTTGAAAATGTCTGTCATATCCCCATTTAAGGTAAACTCTACTGTGTATGCATTTATATTATGAGATCTACCATATTTTTAGTGCACATGTGATTATTAAGTGGATTGGTAGCCGAAATTATTGGTTTATTTGCTCAGTATCCTATTGCTATAACTAAAATCAAACGAGCCGAATCTATTTTTATTTTGAGGCTAGTATCGCAATGAGCACAATCTTTATCATTAGTTGGCAGTGTTGCAACCCAAAGATGATGGTGCTCGATTATATAATATCAACACTATTTTTCACTCACTTTATATTCATGATATTTGTTGCACAACTCTTACACCTCTATTGTGAAAGTTTGTATAACTTATGTCAACATATCCGTTATCATTTTTCTCTCGTTGGTCTTGACAAAGACACTGACCTATAAAAAACACACACATAGAGAAACCTCGCAAGCATTGTTCTCTCCTTCATTTTCTTATCATATCACCATCAACATAATTTTCAAACATGAGTAGTCCTAGTCTCAAATTGTACTACTTTAACTTACGGGCACGTGCCGAGTTCATTCGTCTTATACTTGCAGCTGCAGGTCGTGCTTGGGATGATATTCGCTTGGACTTTACACAGTGAAATATTCGATAAACAATGTATTCTTTTCTTTTCTAGTGATCATTTGTCAAATATGATAATAGCATAACATTATTTTTGAACTGCCCTCAATGGGCTGAGTACAAACCAAAAATGTTGCTTGGCCAGGTACCTGTACTTGAATTTGCAGATGGAACACAATTACCTCAGTCATTTGCGATTGCTCGGTATATAGGACGGGAAACAGGTCTGGCCGGTGAAAATGATCTTGAATCGGCTAAAATCGATGCTGTTGTTGATACTCAATGGGATATGAACGATTTGTTCCTCAATAGGTGTATATTCGAAAAGAATGAAGATAAAAAAGCTCAAGAACTCGAGAAATTCTTAGACAACGATCTCACCGTTCATATTGAGAAATTGATGAAACTGAAGAAAGCTTACAGTTCAAATTCAAGTTATTTTGTTGGCAACAATTTATCTTGGGCCGATCTTTATGTTTATCAGTCAATGGATAGAGTTATAAGGGCGGCACCCCAGGTCAAAAATAAATTGGATGAAAATTTCAAGGAAGTTTTTGATGCTATTGAAAACAATCCAGGAATAAGAAAATATTTGAAGGAACGACCAGATACACCATTTTAGAATAAGAATGATACGATCAGTATATTATGTGTAATAAAAGGAACATAAATAAATTGATTGAAAGAAACCTTTCAGAACATGATTTCCTCATTGGCGATGTATCGAGAGAGAGTGCATGTGTGAGAGCGAGTGAAGAAATGAATGGTCCACATTCACACCCAAAATATTAACAGTCAGTCCGGATCAAATTCCATTTCGAAATTCCTCAGCACTATCATTTGTTGCCTACGGCTATCCATTATAACGGAAAGCTATGACAGCAGGAACTGTTCTCATAACGTGACATAAAATAGTTCCATTTGTTTTGAATTGTATTATTGGCAATTTAGGTTTTCTATTTTTGGTGAACAATAGAACATGAATATTTTATAGTATGAATTGTATTATACATATAAATCGCTCTGTTCAAAGTGATATTGTGTATGCGCCCATTTACGACATGTTTATCATAGCAAACAGTATAATATAGGATATAACTCAGCAGCATTTCCTCAAAAATTTCAGTTCATATACTGTTAATACTCTAGAAATTCTGGTGGTTTTAAAATTTTTTAAATTGTATGTGTGAATTAATAAGGACAAACATGTGATCAGTCCATTTTCTCATGGATCTTAGAGTCTCTTACGAGGGCAAACTTTGAAACTTAATTATTGTGTTATAGTTCTTACTGTGCCGAACCTTTCAATACTTTCATATATATCTCTAGTGAATCACCCAAACAAGAAAAGTGCGTCATCAAACAGTCTATTAATAGTGTTCGAAGGAATCGTTGAAACAATTGTTCTCAAAAACATTAGTTCGGTGCCAACATTGATTATATAGAAGACGAATTTCAATCATAAGTAAAATTCGAATATGTATAGATCACAAAGAAATTTTTCAATACAGTTTCAACGACATTTTCAGCATGTAAACACAACTATCCGACAAAACTTGAGTTCTTATGTGCAAACGTATTTTTTCATGCATGCAGGTTCTCTTTAGTTCATGTACTGCGTTTGCACAGGGGTTTCTTAAATTATTATAACTGTGCGTGCATCACCTTGCATCCGCATGCAAGAAGTCGGGAAATACCCTGGAAAACTTGCGTGCTTCTACATAAAATGTGAAAGTATATCGACTCCTTTTTATGCACGTGCGAGTTTTCCAGTTTTTAACACATTCACAAGCAGTTTTTATGCAATGCCATCATTGCTGATCGAGGAGTATCTTGTACACGATGTCTATGCCGAGTTGCGCTCGACTATTTTTCAGATATACAGTAATTGGCCAACGCCGATTCGTCTATGTGTATTGCTTTTATCAACACCACAACACCTTCACGAAGTTTTCTGGGAGCTCTGACAAGCATCAGCGAAAATTTTGTGATCCTGTCAGTTCTAATATCCACTGTCAAACTGAATATCATGCGGAGAAAACTTAAAATTGTTGAGGCGCTTGAAAAAAATTAACCGAAAGGAGAACAACAGCATCAGGCGGATGAAGAAGAAATCTTGTCAACAAAACGAAACAAATGAGACGAAGAAAATTCCAAAAATGTGATGAGAATTTAAAAGAGAAGCAATGAACCAGAGTGTGGCTGTGGATAGACTTGTGCATAGTGGGCCTCAAATTCATCCATATCCGCCCCTAGTCTGATGAATCGAATATGTGTAAAAAGAAAACGCAGAGACCTACACATCAACCCTCGAAGTGACCGCTGTGATGATCATGTGATTGAGTGAAACGTATGATTCCCCTCTGTTTTATGAAGGTTCCTCACGAATATCGTTCCATCATAATATTTATTGTGATCGGAATGAATGAGGTGAGTAGCGGCTAGCGTATCGTTCAGACGATGACACAATGACCCTTAGCGATCGATTGAAAAAAGGATTGAAGAGACATATACATGGCCATTGTTCTTGCCTTAGAAACACTCGTCAATTTCATCCCATTTAACTGTTATCATCATATTCATTCACTGTCAGACACAAAGTCAGTATTGTCGGAAATCGCAGTACTTTGAACATCGAACTACTTCGAGACGTCCAAATGTATTCTTCGATCACTCAACTTGTCATTTCGAAGAAACTGACACAAGTCTTAAATAACCGTTGAATTGCATGTTGAAGATTTAACTATGAAACCGATGCACCCTTCTCCTAACAAGGTCGTTATTTAAGGTAAATGAAAACGAAAATATTTGTAACTGTATGAAATAACAAAGCGTTAAAGTCGGCCCGAGAAACGAAAATACTTTAACTGTCAGCTTTCTGTCGTAATAACCATCATGCTTCACCTATAAACCTTGGAATCTATAGTCGATTTTCTCACAGTGCCCAATTTTATGACATTAATATGGTACACTATCTGAAATCGCTTTCACACGCACATTCACTACACTACATCAATTTCATCCAATGTGTTGCATTGATATTTAGCAATAGGAAAACTGTTGTACAACTTAGTCCTTTCTATGGTATCTGCAGGGTCATGACCTGACAATTCTGCGATAGCCAACGAATTCTCACTTCTAGGAGACAAAAAATATCTATGAAACGATAACGCTTTTTAACGCTGCGCCATCTACTTTCAGGTCATTGCACTCCGAGTACTCCTCAGAACGAATTGTTTGTGAAACTACACAACTGGAACAAGAAAAAAGGCTTCGCCTTTGAACGATTGACTGTCAAAAATAATCCTATTCGTCTTCATCACACATGTCAATCATTCCATTAGTCATGATAGAATATATGGAGACTGATCTACTCTTCCAAGAGGAACCATCATAAGAAGAAACTAGTTTCCCTTATTGCAAGGTATATACAACGCGCATAAATTGGCTGTGAGAATCACCTAATCTGCGGCTCAAAAACAGAATCTGTAGACTTCTATTTTCCCGCCGCATTGGTGACGATATTAGAGTCATAAGAATTCATAGGGCTACGGTAGTATAATGGTAGTATGCTTGCCTGTCTTGCGACAAACCGGGGTCCGATTTCCTATCGCAGCGTGTTTCTTGTTTTCTTGTATATAGGTATTCTTCCAAATGGAATCTCTCTCGTGCATAGTATAGTTGAGTTAGATAGTTGCAACGTCTGTTTAGTACCAATAAATTAACTGAGAAAGTTCGTGAACAGTCCCGCGCAAAATCGTTCGCTGTTTAGTCATGAAACAGTAAAATCGAGCGGTAACATTAAATATATTTGTGTTGCATGGGACGCCTATTGATTAATTTTGGTCGAACTCGTTTTGATTTTTGTTATTGTTTCTTCTATCCATCGCTATTGGTCTTGATTTCATTGCTTTAGATAGATGCTATCTCTTTTCTGAGTTCGTCGTGTTCTATCGGAATCTCGATTTGTTTCATTTTAATTATCTTTTCGAAGTCTAAAATTTGTTTTCCATAAGAAGAGATTTTATCTTGTATATTTCAAGGTATGGAAATTGAGCTTCATTCATTGCACGATTATGTTGAAATTTAACTATTTTTCAGTTCAGGACGAATCTTTGCAAAATGTTGATTTTGTTTGAATATTAAATTGATTTCATGATAGTAGAGGTCTTTTTTCGAATTGTTTCAATTAATTTTGATCATTGTTCAACGTCTTAATGGTAGAAGATGAATGTGCAAAAGAATTTGGGTAGAAATGTTCATGTCGAATCGATTAAAATCATCGATGTTGATGAACGAGTCATATCAATCAAAAAATGTTCGTTGTTATTGATAGAAATGTTTATCTGAAGACCATGTTGAACGCTTTGATCGATAAACAAACCAAGATGTTGTTGAGTGGCAGTGATAGGGGATGTAGCAATCGAAGGAATATGTTTTCGTTTATTGAGAAGAGGTTGATTAATTGTTGAATCACGACAGACACGAGTGACAAGAGCAGCTGTCGTAATAATCGATTTGTTTATTGTCGGTAAAGATATTGATTCGGTTTGTACATGCGTTCGGAAAGAAATCGATCAATACTGTTGAATTTATCAGAGATGCTTCGCGCGAACAAGTCATATTCTGATGTCCAGAGATAAAGGAGATCTTGGAGTCGAAGATCGACTGGTGGAAAATTTCAACTTGATTACATTAGAGAATGTTTCATTGGACTTTGACCTCGATTTAAGTCATCGCTAAAGCGATTGCCCCATAGGTCAGACGACTTTCTTGGTTCGCTTCGAAAAGCAGATCATATAGAGATCGATTATAGGCCAGAACCAGAGATGGACACAGGACAACTTTTTCTTTTCTGCCCTGCACTATAGTAAGAATTTCTATCTTGACTATCGATAACCAAAGTGCATATTAGTTTATTAGTTATTTTATAGCTAATTTGTTTCATGTCATTTGCAAAAACAACAACTCAAGTTTTCAACAATGACTAATATTATTAATACAAGAAAATATAGAAGAACATTGATTTATTATTTTAATCCTATGTTCATCATAGAAAATAAATATAATAAAATATGAACTTGTAGAGTGTTATCATGATTATCTCTACATATAGTCATATTCTTACTACCCCCCCCCCCCCCCTCGTCAGAATGAGCGAAATTGAGATAAATACATCGGAAAATAGTCTGTCGTTCAATCTCCCACAAACGATAAAATGCTTTTCTCGGCACCCCGTTTTTTTTGCCAAAAATTTTCGAAGATTTTCGTCATCCTCTATTCGAAAAATATGCTGTTTTTAGGAAAAACAGAAAACCTTTTTTGTTTTTTCTCTGTGTATGGTTTTTTGATCGTGCATCCAAGAATTCTCGAAGAAGCTTCATTGTGGCCAATAGCTTTTCTTGTTTAAAAGAGCCCGTCGAGATATAGAGCATGATAGAGTCCCTTTTTTATGAATTAAGTTTTGTTACTATAATATTAGAGAGTACTTTTATAAGTAGGACGTCATTTTTTTAGAGTTTCTTGAGACATTGAACTTCTCATCCCTTTTCTACCCTTAGAAAGTAAGAATTTAGAAAAAAAAGATTCTATTATGTCTTGCATCCTGGCATACTCTTTCAACAAAAAAAATTAAGTCTACAGAATGAAGGTCCACCAAGAATTTTCGGTCGCTAAAAGAGCTATTTTTGAACATTGTTTGTTGAGTATCTCCCGAAAACTTCATTATATAGGGCTAAGAATTTTACCGTAGCTTCCTCACACCAGCTGCAACGTATCCTGAAAACTTCATGCAGTTTGAATGTTCCTGAATCGAAATAGATTTGTGACTACTGTTAGTGCAAAAACATAGAACAAGAGAAAGTACTTGATAGAAAACAAGATACAAAAAATACAAAAATATACAAAACGAAAAACTAAATTTTTTATCATTCTTAAGTTATTTTGAAATATCATGAAACTACATATAATGTGAAAGTTGTAAAAAAATCAGATTCAATACAGCGTGAAGGTGGGTCCAGGATATGACAGTCCTGTGCCTATCTCTGATACTGATTAAATAATCTATGTAAATTTTGATGACTTTGTTTACACTGTCGGCAAGTGTGTGATAAATTTTGATATTGTTTTAGAACTAATGAAGTTCTTGGGATGCCCTTTTGATATAAATATTTCGTGCCTTTATAAAAGTTTCACTTTTTATCGACTAATCGTATTCGCAGACAATAGCTAAGCGAGCATAAATAAATGAATACGATTTTCGAGTTTGGATCGGGTGTAGGTTCCAACAGTTGAACTCATGCAGGATATTCACAGAGGGAGATACAACTGGGCTGTGGATATTTGTCTTCCTGCCGTTCAGCTCCATACTCACACCCACACCCATGTCTATGAATCGTATGTAAAAAGAGAATCACAATGAAACCTTCAATGAACTTGCCACGATTTAGTCGGGCAGTGAATTGAAAATCAGCAAGTTTTTATTGGTCGAAAAGCGATGTTTTTTAAAGCGAGAAAAAGAGGCATTTTCAATTTTAGTGTGTGACTCAAAGGTGCTGAAAATTTTTGTTTGTTCTTGTAGACACATGGAAACCACTATGCAGGATCTACAACAATTCTCTGATCATTTATTCTTCTTACGAGAGTATTGAATTCAAAGTTTTATATCATAAACATGAATAAAACAAAGTTTGGATTCAAATATTTCGGCTTGATACAAGATGTTTTAAAGAGACCGATGTGTCACTATAAGTACAAATGTAAAGAATTTTACATGTACACATGGCACGATTCGACATTCCATTATATAGCTCACAATTTCAACCTAACGATTGTCTCCTTGGGCATGTTCTGTTTTAAAACTGACTTCACAGCGCACGGATATGATTAGATGTCTATTGAAAATTAATGTAGCATAGAACAGAAAAAAAGAAGAATCAAACGGGTGACTCAATAGACGATTAGTCTTTTTATTTCGAAACTCTCCCTTTCTTGTCTATGATATGATTGTGATTTATCCTAACCGTTTTCCTCTGCTATAGCATCATCTCAATTTAGTGCGCAATATGGTATCATTATTCAATTGTAATTGAATGTTACGTACGTAATTTGATATATGAGTAACGAAACATGAGCAAAATAACGTCACCAATACACACCTGTGGTGGTTTACCCACTTGTCATATTAAAGAACGTAAAAGTTATTTATTTTGCATATGTCCTTGCCTATCCCTATAAATAAGTGTGCATTTTGTCAATACACAACCAAAAAAAGATATGTTGTGTTTCTTCTTTTCTATCGTTCTCTTTCTGATGCTAGGTAAGATAGAGACAGCTATGTTTGTTCATCTTTCAAATTTATAACTTGATCTATTCTCGTAGGCCATTCAGCTGAAGCAGTTAAGACCTTGTGGACAAGTAACTTTGCTTTGTCCAATTGGTTGACACACTGGAACACGACCCGTGTTAACTACGGTCAAGAAAATCTTGAAATTATCAAAAATGATGACACATCTTTCCTTCGAGTTCACTTTCCCAAAGGTAGCTGGAGTCCAGGAGCGACAGAAAGAGCCGGTCTGCCCCGAGGTGGAACTCAATGGCACTCGAATCTTCTTCATCCAGAATTGTCCGATGTTACGCTGGTCTATTCGATTCGATTTCCATCACACTTCAATTTTGTCAGAGGTGGCAAATTACCCGGTCTCTATGGAGGCAAAGGCAATGCTGGTGCTGATACGCCGGATGGTACAGATGGCTTTTCAGCTCGATATATGTGGCGTGAAAAAGGCCGAGGTATTCTCTATCCGTTTTTACCTGATTCACCGTATATGGGTACGACTTATGAACTTGGTACGCCATTGTTTTACGGAGACAATACATGGCATTCACTTGCACAACGCCTTCAGTTAAACACACCAGGCAAAAAAGATGGAATAATCACTGTTTGGTATGATGGAAAGGAAATATTCAGAGCAACTAACGTTCTTTTCCGCACGGTGAACACACTCAAGATCACTGGTATCTTTTTTCAAACTTTCTTTGGTGGTTCAACCGCGGATTGGGCTACACCGGTGGCGACTCATATTGACTTTAAGGATTTTAAACTAATTCATTAGATCTAACAGTTCGTAATATTCAACAAATAGTGGATTCACGTACAGTATGTACAATAATTATTCGGACACCGCATAATACTTGTCTTTTGAAGCAAGTTTCACAAAGAAGAAAAATAATTGTCTCGACTCTGATTATAACATTTTATAGATCAAAGTTTCTAATTGATTCTACGAAAAAAAAAGTTTCTCTCAAAACTGTTTTCATAAAGTTTCGGAAGGTTTTCTATACAAACAAAATTATTTGGACACTTGTAATTTTCCTTTTATGATGTCTTAAGTCTGCATGAAAATATTATGAGTTATATATCATTCGACAGAGAAAGCAATTCTCTCCACTCTGATGCATATTAGAACCGAAAAACTATTCATGCATCCGAGAAAAATTCGAAATACAGGAAGCTCTATATTTTTTACAGAGAACTTAAGTTTTTCAGGTGCGATAAAATGAAAACCTAATTCAAAATATGTCATTCGATAGAAAACACCAAACTGAATCGAATCATGTCTTTGATTCCTAAAATTCATTGAATAAAAGCATTAATTACTAATTAAAATTAGTATTTCATATAGATCTTCCGATAATCTTGGTTGTTAGGAAACGAAATCAAACTCAAAATGTTTTGAACGATAAGGCTTGTAGAGAATTAAATTCTCTGCAAAATGATGCGGTTGTTACAATTTTTTTTTCTTTTCTTTCTCCACGGTAAATTGCACTTGAAAAGATAGATTCTTATCATATACCAGAACAATAGTTATATATACAATTCATCATATTTTGATGCAGAATAAAGATACATAAAAGGAAAATTACAGTTGTTCGAGTCATTTTTTGCACAGAATATCAACCAGTGTATAGAAAATCTTCCAAAACTTTATGAAAACCTTTTTGAGAGAAATGTTTTTTCGTAGAATAAAGTACAGACTTCGATCTATCGAATGGTATAATCAGAGTCGAGAAATTTCTTTTTTCTTCTTTGCAAAATTCACTTCACAAGACAAGCATTACAGGATGTCCGAATAATTATTTTATTTACTGCATATTGCTAAATAAATAATAAAATATCAGCGCTAAGGAGGTAAAAGTGATGTTTCGTTCGACTCTTGCAGGCTTTGTAATTTTGAAAAGTCAGAAGGATGTGGATGCAGGTCTGCGTTTGCGCCTGAATGCGTGTAGGTGAAAACAAGCGTCTCACCCATACCAACTAAATACATGTGTTTGGTAATAAAGTGAATTTCTTCTTTCAAACCAATCCAACTCACAATATATACACTTCAGCTGTATATACTTATCATATTAAAATTAACTTCCTTTTCCGAGCGAAAGCTACACAAGGATTTGTATTTCTTTAATCGAGTGGATGAAAACGATTATTAACTATACATAATCAACATTCAATGTGAAGTCTGGTGCCTGTATTCTTTAGCTTGTACCATTCTACATCATGATGTGCAGAAGTTGCAATTTGCCATGCTTTCTCCTAATAAATTGGCGAGACAACTGTATGAGAACAATCGAAGATTTTTATTTCTCTGTGGTCATCTTTTGGAAAGGGATCGATCATAGAAAACAATTCGCTGAGACTATTTGCGAAACTTCTCTTACTGCAGATTAATATTGATTCTTCCGAGAGTAACGGTAATGAGTAAAAATCAAGTGTCAATATTGATCCGTCAATTTCAATTGCTCTGGACTTTTTCTTCTTTGATGTTATCATTACAGGAGATCGAACACAAATGTGCAATGAATTTTTTTATTTCTTTCTAGTCAAGTTCATCATTTGGTGTGCATATAAAACGTCATTTGTAACAAAGCAAAGCGTATCATTGTTCATTCATCTGTAATTCCTGAAATTCATGTGAATCTGTCACCAAAGAATGACGAACGCTTCTCTGTTGATGTCGTTCTTAGCTGCTCTAAACACTATTCTTGCTATCAATATTGGTATCATTCATAATACTTCAATGGTACTATCTTATTCTAACAGAACTATTTATGGATCGAGTTGTTGTGAATGGTTGTGCGTTATGTTCACAACTTTGATTAATGAATCGAGTGTTTCAATGAATTGTTATAAGAACATGACCAATAGCGTTCTTTGTCAAATGTTTTCGAATGCAATATATTTCAACTCAGATTTCTTTCGACTAGAATAGAACATCAATAGTATGTATTATTTCCAGTCATGGCCAATAAACTATCTATTGGGAACAAGCGCTGAAGAAAGTGAGTATATTTCGGAATACAACCGTTCCATTTCAGTATTCCAAATGAAATGGAGATTACTCCTTGAAAAAAAACCACAAGAGCATCATTTGTAGAGTTTCCTTAAATTATATAAACAAATCATTTTTACAATTTTTCAACCCAGAAAAATGCCCCAGAGCTATTATAAATGACTCAGTACCATGTACAGTTATGTCATAAGTATGTATTCGTCATTTTGTTTTAGTTAGAACTGCAAGTCTCATTTATTTGTGGTGCATACTTAACAGGAAGATCTTCAATGATGTCTACTACAACTTTTTAATTAGAGTAGTATTAAGCAGTTCATAAATAAACTTTTTTGCAAAAAAATATTGCTTGATGCATTGCGTATTCAAGCAGTTCATCGTGCTTCTCAACAGACGTTGAGTATTTTTTAACTAAAGTAAACATTTTATTTGGCGAGCGATGCAAACAATCGGTCTTTGATCCGTTTTTTTTTGACATCTTGAAAAGAGTTCAAATCACTTCCAAGTATACTTTTCGTCTAAAAACAAGTATCTTGTTGTAAAAGATCTCATGCAAATATGTTCATGAGATTTTCTCGGGTTTTCCTATGAATCTTATCGAATAAGGAGACATGGTAGAATATGTGCATATCGTCTTATACAATTAAGACAGCAAGAAGAAGCAGAATAAGACTTCTAGACAATTATATTTGATTGTGCCTATACTTCGTTCAGTGATGACTCTTTAGTTTTCTCGATATCAACAATCCTTGTTTTTACATATATGAGTGATAAAACACGAAAACTACATAGATTTGTAAATGTTTGAAAGAGGGTGTGTTGAAAGACGTTTGACTTCAACCTAATACATTGGTATATGTCCTTGTTATGATTCGTAGGTCGTATGAATCATACAGGACAATGCAGCGAGTTGGAACGACCACAGAACGAAGAAAAAGATACTCTTCACGGGACTCAAACCACGTATCTTCTGCTATCCGGGCAGATGTCCTAAGCCAGTTAGACTAGAAGAGACACTTAATCTTCGTCTTATGTACAGAGGGGAACACTCTGGGCATAACAGTCCTTTATTGTTTGATTTATGTCGTTACAAAAATGCCGTCACTTGTCAATATCGCATATAATTTGCTGATATTTCATGTGTACAGTAGCATTTCTTACAGTCTAATACCTACCAACCAGATTTTTTGATAGATGCTAATATTGAGTCATATAGGCATGGTACTGTTAAAGCTGAGCCTACTTGCAAACGTTCCCATAAACATTCTCTTCTACATCCGAATAAGAAAGCAAATAATGAGCATCAATTTATGGCGTAACAAATGACTAGCTAAGAGGACTAAGCCTACAACAGAAGATTTTGGCCATATCGAGTTTTATTACTGTCCTAGCATCGAAGTCATGCATATTCATGCAAAAGCTAAGCAATACTTCAAGACCATTCTTATCAAAGATGAGTCAAGTGTTCTTATTCGAAAAGTCATCCTTATCATGGTTCACACATTAAAAGCTTCTTAGCTTTTAGAAAATTCATCGAATATTCCAAAACAAATTAACCAACAACGATCCCAATTATACGAGACAGCGCCTCCATGCACATTGTAAAGTAGACTGAACACCGTACTAATTTTCTGTCTGTGTTAGATTTCTCGTTATCGTTTGCGACTAACAACAGTCTGTTTGCCTTAAAATGGTGACTTGAAAGGCCAATGAAGTGCAATCCAGCGCGATCTGAGAGGTTTGGCTGCAGGGATGGACAAGGCAAGCTACTTTTCTTTTTCTATTGATTTTTAATAAGAAACGTTAGCAAAAAGGCTTTCATGTCACGATATCTTGTTCCCTGTTTTCATGCATACAAAAAAATATGAACAATTTTACATAAAATAAAATGACATAAACATTATAGCTTTAGCAACAAAATAAAAGAAGTAAAATCAATTCTACTCTTTCATACAATTACGAAAAGACAGTAAAATACGAATTTTTAGAAACAAAAACCTAAACTTAAAGTTGTCTACAAGCAAAACATATTTATTAACACTCTAAGTAATGCCTTATTGTATTTCAAAGACGTTAAAATGCAAATATCAGTTTGTGTAAAAATTTGAACAATACGATCTCATTAAAAGGTCACTTTGAGGAAACACACTTTCAACTGCTGCTGACATAGCAGGAGTACACATAATTTTTCTAGCAATCTTATTAAGACATTGATATGAATTTAGTTATATTTAGAAGATAATATGACTGGTTAAATTCTCTTCCTGAGGAAAAGCATCAATTTCTTCTGAATCTGATCTTGGTGCTGAACTATGAACTTTTTTTTTTGTTGAATAAATAACTCGAGTTAACGACACCCAACTTTCGAGTCCGAGTCAAATCTTACCCTTTAAACAAATAGGACTCAAGTCTACTGGAGTCATGGTCATGAGTCCGACTCGTCTATCCCCAATTAGATGTAGAGTGTGAAGATGTACAGAAGAAGTGCTATGAATTTGGGCATAGATAGTCTATACTCAGTTGTTTGGTGGCACGCTATTTGACATCTTTTTAGTGTTTTTTATCAGCTAGTATTGGCAGTATTCCACAGTTCTCCTGAGATTCCTACTCTGGTGAGACAGACTACAGTAAAGATTCAACAGATATGCATTAAGGAATAGACAACAAGTCATACCTAGCAGAGCGAACATAGCACACGGTGAGAAATATGGTGGCCAAGAATCTTTATACTGTTTGGGCTCATATGACATAGTATTACTATTACTTTCTAGTTGTTACGAGAAAATCTAAATCACGTGACTTATCGTGCATGAGATTAAATATCAGGCATCATTGACAAAAATAAACTCAAGTACATAGGCATCATTGATCGTAAAAGATCAATTTTTAATGACTAGATCTGAGATGTTCACTGACAGACATTGTTTAGATTTTGTATCTACCCAATTTATTTTCGAGCCCGTCGGTCGAATCGCTTCATAATCCAGAATTCGAAAATTCAACAACAAGCATTACTGGATTAACTACTTGGTGTTCATCAACTTGCAGCTCTGGTAGCGAAGGCAGCATATGCAATGGCAGTAAGTGTCGATTATCGAGTAACTGTTTTAGAGAGCAATGTCGAAGCGATGGTAGGAACTTCCTTGGTCAAACATTTCCGACCACAATCGACCACATCTATAATATTTCATTTTGGCTTCAGCTAGTAAGACTTAGCAGTGGAGGCGGCTCAGTATACTTTTATGTCGACTTTACTTAATTCCTATCTTAAAGTCTCTATTCTCAATAATAAACAAGGCAATGATGCTAAGAAAATATTAAATGTTGTTTGTAGCATTTCTCACTCTTCAATATCCAATCGCATAGTATAACAAGTGCAAAGCTGTTATGAACAGAAAAAAAGAGAAATGCACTAACTAATGGCGGATTTTTTTAAAAGTATTAACGACCATTTTCTGAATAACTTTTGATTACTTTGAGTTATCGAGCTGCGGTTTTCACCATTCAAAAGAGCAAGCCGGGGGCTACAAAATCCTACTGATTTTGAATGGTCAAGCAATTGACCAACCAGGAGAACTTTTGCTGGACAGTTTGTGAGCTGCCTCGTGCTACTAATTTTCGTTCAATTTGAACTTTCAATGATANAAGAGAGGATCCTAGATAACCCTGGATTGGCCCGAACAACATCATGTTTTATTCGTACAATAGCTGAGAAAAGCTACGAGCTTATCGTGTGAGTTGGTAGCTTTTCTCTACTATTGTACGGATAAAACATGATGTTGTTCGGGCCAATCAAGGGTTATCTAGGATCCTCTCTTATATGACCCGAACAATAGTATGTTTTATCCGTACAATAGGAGTGTATCGAAATGGGGTCCCCTCCCAGTTGATCGCACCCATATATATTCATCAAAATTTAGAGTACTATGCATTTGAAAATAGTAAGCGAGAAATCGTAACTGGAATACCTAGTGAATGCATATAAATATTGCGACAAGATTTTCATCAGCTTGCTGCTAACTCTGTAACAAATCGAACTGTAACATGAAAACATTTCTCGATCGGTTTATAAGTGAATCTTTAGAATAAATATCATGGTGTTTAGAGATCCAACATTGCCTAATTCAGTTTTAAAATACATATGTTTAATTGAGTAAATTGTTCTCTTTCGAACTATGCAAATTCAAGACTTTTAATTTGTACTATTTAAAAGTTATCAGAGTTTTCCATAGATTTTCTCTGTGAATCTCGGACATGATTGTTGTAGATCGTTTTGAAACTAAAATAAATATTATTACTCGACTTAACTTAATCAATTATTCATTTTACAACTATTTTACACATAAACCAGGGCCAAGTAGTCAAGCTCGGAAAATCTTTCCAAAAGTCTTCTAACTTTTGACTAGTACAAAATAGAAATCTAGAGTTTGTATAATTCAGAAGAGAATAACTTTGTTCATTAAATGTCAGATCTCTGGAAACTATCGTATTTATAATTAAGATCCACTTCTGAATCGATTGAGCAAAACTTTACTGCTACGACTTGATGTCATCCAGACTTGAAGACAAATTGGCGAAACTCTTTTCGCAAAATTTGTTCAGGTCCTTGAGTTATTCAAATTGTTATGATTCATCTTCTATTTTGAAATGCATAACAATAATATTTGTTTCTTATGATATCAACCAAATATTGATGAATAATAAAACATACCTTAAGTGCTTTTTGCAATTGATATGCAAAGAAACCAGGTCGATTACGCATGACGCGAACTGAAAAAAAAAAAGAATAAATTACAGACAAAACAAAGCATATAAACTTTCTTAATGTTTTATTTTTAATGAAGATCAATAAGGAAAACGGATGTTTCTATTTTTCAAAACGTCAAACAAACCATTCATCTTCGTCTTTGTAAATACTTCAAATTTCTTTTTACTCAGTTGTACAAAGTGTTACCAAGAGAAACTAAAGAAAACTAGCAAAAAATATTTCAACTTACGAGGAAACTACTCGAACTGTAACTCGCTTTTTGAGCTGATAGTAGATCCACCAGGAAATCTCGGCGATAGTAGAATCAATCTATGTGGCTGTTTTACTAAATTTTCCATCCATTTTTAGGTATTTACTAGAAAAATCAAAATATGGTATTTCGATCTGAAATTTTTATTCGTAGATTGATCTAATGACCTTTAGAATGTCCAGAAAGTTTCAACCGAAAAAAAAACGACGGAAATCAACTTAGGTAGTTTCTTCATTAGCAAGCGTATTTTCATATAGATGATCCTAACATTGTATCATTTAAATATGCAAGAGACAATATAATCGTTAAACCATACTGTGCCTTATATGACACAAAATTTCGTTCATAAACTCATACATCATTTCAGAAAAGATAAAATATGATATTTCAAATCAGTAGATTCGTTGTATATCAACATACTTACCGATTGTTAATAAACCATTACATAAACTTCCACTTGTTTCTGATTTAATATCATCTTCAATATCTCTTTTGCTATATTGTTGATAAGCTTCAAAAATAGCTTTTAATTGTACATTACTAATAAAAATAAAATATAGCAAAAATAATAAAATAAAATTTCTAAAAATTATAAACCTTCGATTACAAAGAATTTGAATAAATTTTGATTCATCTGTTCCCCATTTCTTTATACCTGCTTCATATAATTGTTTTGCATCATTTTTAATTTCATTTTCATTAATTCGATTCGACTCTGGACGTTGACTTTGTAGTAATGCAACTAATAATTTTTTCAAATGACCACTTACATCACTAATAATATCTTTTTCAAGTGATTGATTAAATACTAAAAAAAAAAAAAGAAAAATACAAAAAAAAAAAAGAAATTATATAAATCAAAAATATCTTTACATTTTGAATATAGATCATTTATAGCTTGTAAACGTTTATTTGATCGACTAGCTAATATTTCAATTAAAGCTTCTTCATTTGTACCAAGTCCTTTAATAGCTCGTTGTAATTCATAACAATCATATTCAACAGGAGAATAGAGAAGATTTTTTAAAACTTTACGAAAATTTCCTGATGTATCACCTTTTATATCATTTTCTAAATCCTAGATAAATAAGTTTTTTTTTTTTATTTGTAAATAGTTTTTAGATTTCATTGTATTTTCATACTCGACCAAATTTAGTTTTATATTTATCACGAATTTGTAAACGTTGATCATTACTACGATTGCCAAGTATATTTATAAGTATATCTTCATCTGTTCCAATACCTTTCATTGATTTATGAAGATTTTCACAATCTATACACAAAAAAATAAATAAAAAATAAATTCATATGTTTGGAATTTTATTTACCTTGGTCGACATTAAAATTAGGAAATGGTACAAGTGTTCCTTGTTCCTATTAAAATAAAATTAAAAAAAAAAAAACGAAAACAAAACAAAATTTTGATATTATTTTACTTCTGTTTCTTCAGTATAAATTTTTGGTGTTCGTTGTTGTTCTTCTTCTTCATCATACATAGATTTCTCTTGACGAACAGGTGACTTTAATGAATTAGTATATCGAATAGATTTTTCTTCATCAGAATCATATGTTCTTAATGATTGATTCTTTCGATTAGACTTTTCTTCCGTAATATCAAGTGGTTTTAATGATTGAGTATGTCGAATAGATTTTTCTTCATCAGTATCAGGTGGTGTTCGTATTCGTTTTGTAGATCGACGTTTTGATGAACGTTTTCGAATAGGTAATGGTAGTGGTGGTTCTTCATGAAAAGTTTGTTCACCAAGAGGTTTTTTAAATGTTGATAACACTTGATAAGTATTACCTTTATCTATAAGACGAATTGTTTCAATCTAAACAAAAACAAAACATGAAAATAATGAGCATGTTGTAGAAAGAATATAATAAATATAAAATACTCGTCCGAATATTTTCCATCCAAATAGTTCACGTAATTCTCGTTCATCTTTAACATAATTAAAAATATTTAAGAATAGATGTTCAAGAGTTTTCTTCCAATTTCCATTGCCTGGACTTAATGGTTTTGTTTTTCGATCCCAAAAATTTTCCTCTTCATATGTTGTATCTATAATACGAGGCGGCGGCGGCAGTGGTGGTGGTAAACGCTAAATATCAAATCATATAAAAATAAAATAGTTGAAAAGAAAAATTTACTTCAACTATTTGTTCTCTTGTATATTCATATTGAGAATTTCGATTTGGATCAATCCAATTTTCATCAGGTATATTCCAAACATTGGCTTGTGTACCAGAATAATTAGCAGGTGCAATAGGACCTTCAAAATTACTTTGAATACTAAAATCATCATCCAATTTCGATCGATTGAAATCATCTTTCGATTGATATTGATCCTAAATTATTGATATTAATAATTTTTATTTATTTCTATTTTAAAATATATAAATACTTACTACTAAACTTTGATCATTATCTGAATATTCATGCGGACTACCATCATCATTTTCTGAATATTTATCATTTACATCAAGAAATTTTGTTATAATATTACTTTCACGTAATCCATTACTATCGAATAAAAAATTATTAAGGAAAAAAACAAAAATAAAACAATTAAAATATTAATTAATCTACTTTGTAACAGCAATTGCTTTTAGTACACGTCGTCCTGAACCAAGACGAAATGCTCCACGATAAAGATAAGTTGAAATTGAACCAGTTCGAAATATTTGAAATGGATCAGGTTTTGTTCCATCAACAGTAAAATAAATACGTACATTTGGAACATCTAAATATATTATAAATAAAAACCAATATCATATTATTATTATTGAGAATAATTCAAAAAAAAAAACTAAAACCTGATCGAATTTCAATAAATGTTTGTGTATCAATTTTATTTTTTGATGAAAGTGGATTCGATGATAATGGAATAATAATCGGCGAAGGTAATAATCCTGCTTTCAACATGTTAATAGAATTTAACTTACATATGATGTATTGTTGCTAAGCAGTTTACCACATATTCTATATAATAAATAGATGACGCACTTTTGAAATGTATTGGTCACCATAGGAATACATAGTCAAATGATCCAATCTCTTTTATAGTTCATATTTTGTTCATTTTAAAAATATGTCGAAAGTACCTGTACAACGAAAATCAACTTTTAAAAAATTTCTCGATCGAGATGTATGATAATTAATATATATTTATTTTTTATCGTATGATTTTAATTATTTAAATTCATTTAGTCATCTATTGGTGATCGATTGAGTGATGATGGAATTGTAATGATTTAAAAATTAAAGAGAGAAAAAAAAAAAAATAATGTTTTAAAATATTTATTCTAGAATCAACGAAGACCATGTTATCAATTAATTCAAAAAGAAAAACAACGAAAATGTTTACCTATGAATGATATACGAAAAGATCAATTAGATATTTTACGTGAAATACTTTTTAATCAACGTGATGTAAAAAAAGAAATTTAATAAATATCAAAATTAATTTTAAATATCTTTCATTTAGATAAATGAATTAATAAAAAAACCGAATAGATCAGATAAAATTATTTCAAAAAATAATTGTGTAAGATAAATAAAATCATTTGAAAAGAATTTTATAAATGAAATTAATTTTTAGATACGTAATGGAAAAAATCATTTGACCAAAAATACAAAGTAAATACAATAAATAGATGTAGTTGTCTGCATGATCAATGATGCATAATAGAAAAGTTTCTAAAGTATGCAATATATGTTGAGTTATTGTAAATAACCTGAAAAGCTACTATTAGCGATATGACACCAAAACAGAGTTGTAATAGTTCGGATCCTGTTCAGAATTTTTTTGATCATTATTAATCGGCTAATGAAAATGGTTTCAAGAAACGTTCATTTTCCTTGATGTACTTAAATTTTGTACAAGGAAGAACAAAATGACTTATTGGATTTCCATCAGTGGAAATTAGTTTTTATCTGTTTATCAGGAATTATTCGAAATGCTTGTAAATGAAGGAAAATTACGAGAAATCGTTAGAAACCAAGAGCAGTCACTAGGAATACTTACAATTATTGAAAAAATCAATAAAAGCCATTAGAAATCAGAGCTTCACTTTTAATCTTATTACTGAACGTCCTTTATGATTTAGAGTAACTGTCATTGATTTCTAACATAGAAATCAGTTTGTTCCTCCTTGAATTTTTACAAATCTCTAGAAAGAATTATCATTTTATAGTGGTTTATATCTATTCAATTTCTCAAAGATAAAGATATGATATTTATATACATACATAGCTTTCGTTTGGTTCTGCTTAAGAGAATATCATCTAAATCATCTTTCGTAACATGTAGTTTCAATATACTAAATTCTACCGCTATTTCTAATGCTTTTCATGACAGACTATTTCGTAGTTTTGTTTTAATTCGTTGTTGTGTTCTAAAACTTTGCTCATGTTTATTACATCCAATCAACATGTAGCCTAATTCAGTTTCTCTTTAAAAAATTGAAATCACGACTTTGCTTTTACATAATCAATCTGTTCTATCGACAGATTAAAAACGTTGCTTATCTATAACAGAAAATTCCTAGGGAGAGAAGTAGAATTCATGAAAAACTTTAGGAGGCGAGAATTATCCTGTTATCCCTCCCTTAATCGCATGCCTGAACGTATCTCGAGAAGAAAAGTCTAATAGCACGAATCCGTTCAGGACTTTTGTCTACACTATGAGTCCTATCTATGGAAGAAATATGAACTCAAACATCGATTATCATCCGGAAGAGTTCTCTCGTGTGCTACAATGTGATGATTGAGCTATTACATACGAACTTATATTATTGATTGGTTCAGTTATTTCAGCATTTTTTTAGGCTTACATCAACAAAAAATATACATTCATCAGATACTATTGATTTGAATCAATCTGACGAAGGTTTGAACAACTATATATATATGCCATTCATGAAATGATAATTTATGTTTTCTACATAGATAATCCATCTGTTCATTCTGATGATGAAGAAGTAATAGAAAATGAACCTGTTCGTGTAAGTCGTTCGAATAGAAAAGCTAATCAAGAATATCCAATAATTCGTTCATCAAGTCTTTATTCTCAATCTCGTCAACAATTAAATGGTATTCGATCAACAAATAGTGTTTCATTTGTATCAGATGGATTAAAACCTGATGGTCAATCTAATAATACTGAATCGAATATGAATACATCATCAGATAAATTAAAAAAATTACTCGATCGTCTTTCATCAGAATTAAATGATTTAGAATCTTTAACAGGTTTTAAATCAAATACAAATGTTCTATCATCACATACATGTAGTACAGCACTTGCTACAGCACTTATTACTCTTACGGGTCATGTTAAACAAGTAAAGAAAATTGTGTTTTTTCTATGATTTTATTTAAATAATAATAATAATAATAATTATTATTATTTTTTCGTATATGTTTAAGTGTACTCCGAAGTCTAAAGGAAATCAAGAAATAAATCATCTTAAAGATCAACTTTCAATTGTTATTAAAAGTCAATTAGATTTTCAAAAAAAAATTGAAAATCAAATGATAACATTACAAACTATGATGCAAACAATATGTCAACTTGTTAATAGTGAAATAATATCAAATAAAAAATGTGAAGAAAAATTTCCATTAAAAAAACTTCATCGAAGTCAAACAGATTTTGATGGAATTGAATCACATCAAAATTGGTTAAATAATGCTCAAAGATCATATTTAATACCAAAAGATACAAATAATGCAATGAATGATTTGCTTATGTTGACTAGACGAATGAATGATGGTGAGATTATATTTAAAAATATATGAACATGTTAACATTATTAGATAGAAATAAAAATAAAAAATGAATCCGAGTTGTCGAACACATAAACATTCAGAATAGACGAAATATTAGGGAATTTTAAAAAAGTAATGAATCTCTAAGAGGGAGGACATTAGAGGTCATGCAAGACACTGCTAGAAAATGATATTGGATTTTTCGCTAGTATATGTATTACTAAGTGCAAAACTAGAATCAAAAACGATTGGTACCGTTCATCACTATCTGAGAGCCTTTAGTTTTTATGACTGATTACTAACGAGGGAACTACCCCAAGTGATTCACCGCTTTTGAGCTCATACTTTGGGGATAAGTAGGAGACCCCGACACTAGAATAACCCTAAGAGGATTTGGGCCTATGCACCTGTGGGGCTGAGTTATAACCGTTTTACTCGATTTTTGCCCTAGGGCACTGGTTCACCTGCAAAACTAAATCAACGAATTTCGGTCTGAAATTTTGTCCACGAAGAGAACTAATGGCCACTAGAATACCCTGAAAGTTTCAGACAAAACGAATGTATCCTTCTTAAGATATTGAATTTTCAAAAACCGACTATTTCTCGAAAAGAATTAGCAGACCCGGAATTTATTGTGGAGTCAATATCTTAAGAAGGATGCATTCGTTTTGTCTGAAACTTTCAGGGTATTCTAGTGGCCATTAGGCCTCTTCGTGGACAAAATTTCAGATCGAAATTCGTTGATTTGGTTTTGCAGGTGAACCAGTGCCCTAGGGCAGAAATCGAGTAAAACGGTTATAACTCAGCCCCACAGGTGCATGGGCCCAAATCCTCTTAGGGTTATTCTAGTGTCGAGGTCTCCTACTTATCCCCAAAGTATGAGCTCAAAAGCGGTGAATCACTTGGGGTAGTTCCCTCGTAAGTGTAGTTTGACATTTCAAGTCGCTTCGAAGATTTCAGATGACTTTTGTCGATTATTTACATTCTACGACCGAGACACCCTACACATTTTTCTGGAAATCTTGATGATAATCCATCAGATCTATCCCGAACCCAATCCATAGAAAATTTCCATATTCAGATCTGACTGGTGCTATCAGCGGGTCACATCGGCGTGAATATATTAATCGATTACTGATATCTTCTATAGTCTTACAATATTTCGATCTCTTTCATTATTAGATTTCTTTACTTTTAGTTCTGTTTACATATTTATAAAATTAATATTTTATGCATTCTAGCTACACCGCTAGATACTGATTTGTATCATCAACATACAAATAATTCTTCAATGAATCGTCCTTCAGCCTATATAGAAACATTAGACGCATCAAAAAAACTAATACGATCAATATCATCCATGTCTGCAAATGAAACGAATGCTAATGAAAATGCAAAACAAAGTCAACAACATAAAAATATTGATCAAGAATCACGTTCATTAATGATTAGTCCAATTGACGTGCCATTATCATATGATATGTTTGAATCAGGTCTTCCAATAGGCAATTCATCGGCTAGTCAACTTCGAAATGGAACTAATGGACTGGATGGAACTTCAACTACTGTATCGTCTGCTTCAATGGTATGCTTATAACATTCGTATAAATGATAATATTCAGCTATACAAATTAGATTATTATCATGTTCTTTCTGATTTTTTTTTTGTGTCTAGAATGAAACAATCTTAGAAAAAATTCTTCGTGAACGTCTTCGTCTAGTTCAACAAATGGCTGAATTAAATAAACAACATGAAATGACTCAAGAAGAATTAGCTAATCTTGAAACAAAAACTATACAATCACAAACAATAGAAATTAAAAAATAGAAAAAAATAATTCGTAGAAATTTTCTTGTTTTTTTTTTTTGTTATTTTAACAATTAGTTCGATAGTGGGTATTCTTATTATAACTTGATATATGTGTGAATAATATAGATAGAAATAATGACGAAGCATTGTTTTGAATCTTCGCTCATTATTTGTTTTTTCTTCTTCTTCTTCTTCTTCTTGTGTATATTAGCAAAACAAAGCCATGCATGCTATTTAGAAAAATTATTTGTAGTAATTAGAAAAAAAAAACAAATCAATTGATTGACAACAAAAATTATCAAGTATTAATTTAATCATTTTTATTCTAATAAATTCTTTTAATAAATTTATAATTACTACTATTCAAGATGAAATCAATATCATATATAAAATATATGATCTAGACAAAGGACAGATAACATATTTTACTGATAGCAATAACTAAGAATTAAGAAATGAATATACATAGCCTGTTGACTAGAGTTGAGCAAGTACGGATTTTCTCGAGTACGTATTCGTACTTGCTCAGCACTACTATTGACACAGCTAAAGGATATCCCATACGTTCTGGGCATCAACAGAAATTAGTTCATGTGTAATCAACTATATCTATATGAGCTTTGAATGCTTCGGATGGTGTTTTAAATGGGTGGTTGCGAGTATATAGTTCATTATAACTTCTGAATCGTTCATATCATTATAGTTTAAAAGAGATAATGTCATTCGGATAAAATATACCACTTAAAACATCATCCTAAGTACTTGAAACTCATATAGACATAGTTGAATAGAGATCACTCTTTGTTTACATAGAAACTAATTTTCGTTGAGACCCAGAACCTATGGAACATTCTTTATAGACAAACTATGTCTCGGATCTTGATCTCTCTTAATTTCGCATTTGATAATAATCCAAGTAGTTGATTCTGTGTACAATATATATTATGTTTGTACGCTTCACAAAGTATAATAACAATAATATTTTATTCATATGAATGTCAATAACAATTTCTAATGTATGTTGTAAAATTATTTAACCAACTAATGTTGTTCATTAATTTATTCATATATGTGCAATGATAATATTAATAAATTCTATTAATTATAGAGTGATATAATTTATTACAATCTGAGAAATTAATCTGATTTTATTTATTTTTTGTTCTTTACTATATCTTAGAATACAATGATATTGAAAACAAGCTTATATAAAAACATCTCTATTCATTTCCGAGGTTGTACGTCGTATTTTATTACCGTTTTTCTTTGTCTTTTATGTTTAGGATTGATTTGATTTAATTATTTCTATTTCTAAAAACATTGCATGCTATTCAAACATCATCCATACTAATTAGAAAAGATAGGAGTAAAATATGTCGACTTATATATTAAATCTTCAAATACGAGCTAAAACTCCTTTTTTTTCTTCTTTTTCTCTAATGAATTCTATTGTAAAATTAGCTCGAGACCGTCCAATAAGCAGTATATTTTCTCGCCACTGTTCGTATTACCAATGAGATTTTATCTCTCTCTTACTTTGATTACTTGCAATTTAGTATGGAAATTTTTCTCACTTGATTAAAATACAAACTTAAAGAAAAGAATGAATACAATGATGAAGAATAGCTTTTTTATTGATGATCTTCTTTCGGCTTTTAAACGACCAGGTGGTTTAACAACAAAACAATATCCTTGGATATCACCATCAGTATCACTTAATTTTTATCAATTAATTAGTCAATATACATCGAAAAAATTAGAATTACATCCATTTATTTATCCTGGTATGTAAATATTTTTGTCCGACTTTTTTTTTTTATTGCATGTCTATTTACAACGACAATATTATCGTTGAGATGGCTAATGAGAATCCTTTCTAATCGGCTCAAGCTTTTTTTTTTTTTTTTATTATATATGTCTTTCACTCGTTTTGTATGTGATTAGTGATCTACTCATAAATTAATTATTTCATCGAAACGAAAAGTCATATACTTGCTAAATAAAAACAAAAAAAACAAAGTCGCTTGCTAACACAAGTTATATTTGACTATTCTTAAATATGTTTTATCTATGACTTAGGTTTAAATTTTCATACTTACTTAAATAATGAAAATTTATTGAAACATTGTCGTCGACGAAAAGCTCGAACAGTGTTTACTGATCAACAATTGAATGAACTTGAAAAAAGATTTGATGAACAAAAATATTTAAGTACACCAGAACGTTTTGAATTGGCTAATACACTTAATTTATCCGAAGCACAGGTAAAACAAAATTTAGATTTTCTAATCGTTAATCGATGATATATGATTTTTATTTCTTATTTCTTATCTCTAGGTTAAAACATGGTATGTACTATGTTATTTCTATTGATATTTTTGAAAAATATATATATTCTAGGTTTCAAAATCGTCGTATGAAATATAAAAAACAAGTACATCGACAAGTAAAAAATAAATCGGATAGTCCATCATCAGAAGATGTTGATGAACAGAATGATATTGATGTTGTCAGTAGTGATGAATGTTACAGTAACAATTCATTTTTGAAATAAAACTAAATTATCATGATCATAAAAAATGATTGTCACGTTCATTTTTCTGTTCCCTATAATCAACACCAGATGTAATGCATAGAAACAATTCAAATAAAAGAAGATAATTCAAATAAGAATAAGATTAGACACTTGAAATATATGTCATTGACAATAAGATATTCACTTGATGAGAAGTATTTAAGAACATAATAAACGTAAATCAAGAGCGTTTTGTAAAGCATAAGAAACCATTAGATTCGGGTTAAACTTCAAAAAGTGTTGAATTTATTGTTTATAATATCATCTGCCTTTTTCTATCTATTCTCATGTGATTCGGGTCGGACAAAATCTGCCTGTAGACCGTTCAGTATAATGTGTGCTAGACATAGAATCAAACAATGCCAATTTGATACTTGTGCGACTGGGAATATTCTGATCGATACTCTATCGCAGTAGTACGAACACACGTATGATTTGAGTTTTTTCAACATTAGTGTAATAAACAATGTGCTATAGAGCTATGCAGTTCATATTATTTATATGTACCATAGCTATGATTCAAACAATTCTAAAACGATGTCACAATTTATCATTCTTCTCTACAATATGAACGAATCCATAGGAAGTTAAGTAGATTATTTTTTTATCAGAATAATTTGAAAAATATTGTAAAATTTCAGATGATACCGCTTTAGGTAATACTAAGGGACCATAAAAATGTTATCCTATTGTTTTATTGAAGTTTTACACAAGTGTTAATCAATAGCATTTGATGCGATAGTGATAGAATAAGTAATGATCTTTCTGTCTTTATGGTAAAGACATTTTGAAATGAATATAGAAAATAATTTTCATTTCAACATGTTCTATCGAAATAAGATAGACATTCATAATCTGAGATCAGCATTGATAATATTACTTTTAAATCGTATCTTAAAAGTTAATTTTTTTTTTTGAAAGAGCTTATCAATAGACACAACAATGTTTTTATACTTTTTGAATATAGTTGAAGCTAATATATTGAGTATTATAAATTTATATAATAGTGTGTTTATTGAATATTCTAATTAAGTTTCGAAACATTTGCTGATAACTTACATAAGAATAATAAATTCTAAAATCTCTTTAGAACTAATGAGATTTCTTAAATACTATTTTGATTTATATTTGATATCTTTGATATAAAGAAAGAAGGACGATTTTTTGGTTCGAGTTGAACTTCATCTTGTTCGAATTGTACTCGAAAAGTTGGATTTGTGCAAGGCTCTAATTAATGGGCTTGATAGCGCATTTTAGATTGTTAAATAGCAATCAAATTAATATAATAACTTTCTTTTCTCAATATAATAAGTTGGTTTGCACATCTTGCTTTTGTAGTTAAGGTGCGAAGCACAACATTCATGCAGTCGATCACGTACGCCTTTGGCCTCTATAAATGACGTATCTTTTGTAGTAGAGAAATCTGGACTTTGTGACGAAATGCTCGAGAGAACGGCGAATCACTAGAAACTCATTTGAACTATGTCAGGATGATCAATGTCTCTAAATAATGCAGATGTTTTTTTGATCTTCAATCAGTTTCGAAAAACGATAATTTGGCCTTTATCTTTTATCTAAGACAATTAAAATCGATAAGCTCGTCTCCAGTCAGTTGTTGTGAGTAGGAGCAATAATAGAAATCTTCTACAAGATAGAACAAATTGTAGATGAAATAGTTTTTGTGTTAATTGAAACTTCATTATCGAAAACTGAGATCACCTCGTGCCGACTTTATGTAGTCCTTTGCGAATTCTTTGTGTTTTACTTATTAGATACTTGCATCGAAAGTTAATACATTTTATTGCGATGATTTCGAAAACAGAGATTCGGAAAATAGGCATATAGCTGATCTTGTATTGTCTTATTCAGGCGTCGAAGAAAGTAGAAACTATTGTCTATCTGTGATTGATGTATAAAGAGGAGACGACCTAAAAAAATTTTCTAATATGAAATATCTATTTAAAATAGAATATCTAATGCTGTTTGCAATACTCTTGTTCATTATGTATCGAACAATAGAATTAGTTAAACATTGTAGGAATTACTTCGAGCACAAGTTGTTGTATTGAATCATATACCAAATTGAAAATTTTAACTTAAAACAGGCAGGCTATGCGCTGTATCATCAATAAAAGCTAAACAAATCAATGCTTTGATACTATGATTTTTTTGCTAATGTATGTACGAGAGACTATAAGATATGATCTGTCGAGAACCATAGAATTTTAGCTCATCTAGGTTTTCATGTATACACAAAAGAGTAGAAAATTATGTACTAACTGAATAATTTTGACACCTACTGCATAGACTTATAGTCCACCAGTGCTGTATAATTTTATAATATTTAAACTTTCGCTTCTACAATAGATTCCCATATTGTACTTCATGGATCATTTCAATCGTTAGCGATATGTCTTCGCAAAATTAAAACATGTGCATCTCGGAATAATGAGGTTTCCTACATCTAATTTTTATATATGACACATTTATGTTAAGTTATTCTAGATATTCTGAAAAAAATCAGCGTTAGAGACCTTTATTCAGAGAAGTTATTAGCAAAAAACTAGTGTTAGTGATGGGACACGAAAAATTATATAGACAATCGGTTTTTCAAAGTAATGTTTTTGGAGTCCAATTTTGCTGAAAATTTCACTATAGGTTCAGGGTAATCTCGTATAGTCTATCCTGAAGTTTTCGAATTTTTTATTTCATATGGTTAGAGAGATATTCTCCAATGATCTTTTAACTAATTCATCAATTTTAATTGATAGTCACATAAAGGAACCAACATTTTTAGATATGCCTATGTTAAACGCACTTATTCAGAAAAATAATCCTCATAAAGAATCAAAGTCAAATGAAAGGGGAAGAGTTTTTTAATTGGATTACTTCTATAGTTTATGCTAATAATATTTCGAAGCCGAATTATTGGTTTCGATGTTATCGTTTCGGTTAAAATAAAAATTTATTAATTAATTCATACAATGATTTATATATCCCAAGCTCAAATAGAGTATGTTGTCTATTATTATTATTTTTTTTTTTATTGAGTAGAAAAATAGAAAAACAGTAAAGTACCAACTAAGTTTAGTTTCTTTTCTTCTAATTGAAGACGGTCATATATAGATAAGTTGAGAAATCAAAGTGACCAATAGGACTTCTCAAGATAGCTTTTCGATAAGATAGACATAATCTATTTCAGATGGAATAATGTTTTTCTTTTCAATAGACACGTAGCGAATCTTTATTGTTGATATTCTATGTTATAGTTTTTGTTCTAACGATATTGTTGTGTAGGGAAGGAAGGAGAAGCATCATCTTATATCACAACCTGACCCAGAGAGATTCCTTGTGCATGCTATGGAGAAGATCTAATCTAATATGGTCAGTTGTGTGTGTACTCATTTTAAGTCCACGGAGATCTACCCAGTCGCACATGTAGTCGATAATTAGCCGAGCTAAGCCGCAAAAGGAAATGATTAAAAATTTTAAAAACCAATTTATTGTGAAAGCCAAAAGAAAAATTACGTATTCTTTCGAATTTTTTCAAATGTGTCTCTATAGTTCAAAAGATAAGAATGATTTGAAGGCAATTTCTCTTGAAGAATTTCTACCACTTGTTGAACATATTTCATTGTCATACTATATTGTCGAGTAGTCCATATATATAATTTAGTCAAATTATGATAGTTTGCAGCTAAATCAGGATGAGTTTTTGGTAGTTTATTTTCACGAATTTGTAATGCTTTTTGAAAGTATATTAATACTGTTGAATAATTTTTCATCTTTCGATAAGTTTCACCTAAATTCATATGTGTCATTGCGCATTCCAGAGGGTTACATTCAACATTTTCTTGAATATTTAATGTTTTTTGATGAAATGAAAGTGCCCTTTCATAATCTTCCATTCATCGATGAACATTTCCAATATTATTGTATGTTAAACCAAAATCTGAATGTGTTCCGGGTAACACTTATTGACGTATTACTTTTCCAAATTAACAAGTACTTTTGGGTACTCTTTCATACTTCGATAATATTTTCCGAACCACTAGTATGGAAAAATCAACAAGGTATGATGCAGAGATAAATCTATCTGAAGGATTTTATACGATTTTGTGTGTAACTCAAGCGATTTCGAATAGTCACTCATGTTGTAATACACTGCACCGATATTGTTGTATTTTAATTCTCGCATTGTGCTCAGCCAATACCTTAAAATAAAATGCGTCACAAACTTTAGTATGAACATGCATACTGAACTTACACATTTTCATACATCTTTTTTTCTAGTTTGTTTCTTTATTAACCTGTGATTGAGAACATATTCAGAGATTGCAACACATCGAATTGGTCTGATCGAGATAAAATCGACTCGAGATGGCTGAATCTTAAGATTTTTCTCTCTTGTACTTCAAGAGTAGATAGTAATAATTCAAATTAAACTTGAAAAATAGTAATTATTCGATTTTTCAGAAAAAAATAACAAGCATGTCGAAGGATAGATTCGAACCATATTTTTCAGAATGTGTGGCAAGTTCACTAGCAGAAATACATTGGGAAAATTGTTGATTTATGCTTGAATAGAGAAGATCTTTCAAATACTTCTTGCAGTATAAAAACAAAATTTACTTTTCTATTTTGCGTGTGGATATTATCCTCATCAGCACGCACTTGTTTTTGTGAGTTTCTTAGCATCAATTGATAATATTCCATCGCGATCAAGCGGTTGATTTAAAATTTGACATAAACTTCTACCAGCAGATAGGAGCACTAAGTGATATTTGTCACGGAATCTATTAATAGTATACGACATGAACCATATCCTAATATTAGTAAAGGCAAGGAATGATCTTTTCTCATATGTTCATACATCATTCGATATATAACTGAAACAGCTTAATTTTACATGGAGATTGATTGAATATATGAGCAAATGAATAGAGTATTGTTCCTGAAAACACTCTAGAAGCTAATCTTTTTTAAGACATGAAGTATGGATAAATCTCAGTTGGCTCAATCACTTAGTATACACTACAGAATGCATTGCAAGATTTGGTTTTATGTGTGAAACACTTCTGAAAATCAAAATGGCAAAATCGGTAAGAAAGAAGTGGAATATTATAACGGCAGATGATTTTGCTTCATAATCTTCATTAGAAATATGTTGATAACTGTTAATAGTGTTATCTTAATGATGAATTTCGCAAAAGCTACTTCACAATTTCTTTCTCACTTCGATAATCTGATTGATCGAAATATAGCTTTTTCGATTTGTAACGACAAAAAAAGAAACCTTGATTCCATTAAAGCATGATTATCTTTTGGAAAAAAAGCGTTCCATATTCAATCGACATTGGAATATTCGCACTGCATTTTCCAGTCGAGTGAAATTTGAATGTCTTATTTTTGGAATTGACAGTCAGTTGTATGATATTATTGATATAAGATTCGACACACGCTCGTTCTATTATTGTTTTCGACTGTCAATCTAATCATCTATGTTCTGACATTCGAATTGAAATTCAATCTAATCACCATCTGAGTATTTTTAATACATATTTGACTAACATTTGTTTATAGATCATTTCATGCTTCATTGGTCATATATCGGAGTTCATGTTTTTTATTTTTATATTCTTCTTACAAATTTTGTGTTGGATAAGTTTCCATACGAGATCAGTAACCTTAAAATAAAGATTCTAATCTGAGCATTGACAAAAATTCAGCATGCTATGTTTAACTAAAGAATACAGTCGATAAAGCATACAATGATCTATTGACAAATATAATTCAAAAACGTATTAAAAATATACTTCGCAATTATTTTGTCGCTGATAAGTAGTGGCGACTCGCTGGGCGTGGGTGGGTGGGCAGTGGAAGGTGGCGCCACTCTTTTTTTGCTTTTAAATGTTTAATTACGCGTTATTAAAACCTGAAATTTTTAGTGGATGTAGTTCATGTTAGGGCCAGATTATAATAAAAATTTCAGGTATTAATAACACACAATTGAAAACTTAGAAGCAAAAAAAGAGTGGCGCCACCTTCCACTGCCCACCCACCGCCAGCGAGTCGCCACTGTTCTAGATACGCCACTANCCACTCTTTTTTTGCTTTTAAATGTTTAATTATGCGTTATTAAAACCTGAAATTTTTAGTGGATGTAGTTCATGTTAGGGCCAGATTATAATAAAAATTTCAGGTATTAATAACACACAATTGAAAACTTAGAAGCAAAAAAAGAGTGGCGCCACCTTCCACTGCCCACCCACCGCCAGCGAGTCGCCACTGTTTTAGATACGCCACTAGCTGATAGATAGGTTCTCTTATTTTTTCAATATCATCCATTGTACATATTGCTTTAATTCATAGTGAAGAAACTTATATGGAAAGTCTCCCAATCAATTAATCACTTTTTAAATCAAAACAATTTACATCAGGTAGATTATCAATGAGCTATTGCAGAGTTAAATGTCCTGAAACTTTCACTATGAATTATTCTTACTAAAGTGTCTACTTCTATGCAAAGTGTCAAGTCGAAATGCGACAATTAATTTTTCTGAGGAAAATTATGCTAGTTTCAATTTTAGATCAATTAATCAGTCAATGAACTTCTCTTGTGAACTAGAATATATTTCAATAAACAGTAAAATCTTATAGTAGGCGTAATTTTATTAGCTTTTTTTCTTTGTTGCAGAACAAAAAAAAGAAAACGAGAAAAAAGTCCATAATGTACTCCACGAATAATGGATAAACAACAAAAAAAAAAGTCGAAATCAAGAAGAATGAATTTGTGTAAGATATTTTCTCTGTCACACATACACACACTTTAACCAATTAAGTCAACATCATCATAAATATAGTGGAACATTCAAGTAGAAGTTAAGAAAAAGAAAACCGTATTTGTAAAATGAATTCTCGCTGTACAACCGATAAAAGAGAAAGAGAAAAGACCAACGAGAAGACACAGATGATGAAGAGAAAAAGAAAATCAATAACAACAACATGGATATAACAATAAAAAAAAAATGAAAGAAAAGCAGCCCGGGTGTTTATTTTTTTCTTTTGATACTTAATATGGGTGCAAAAAATAAATAAATCTTTATATGTATATATCTCATTGTGTCATTTACTTATACCATTTGTATAATATTGAAATGTATCATAAACTCTTGTTGTCAATGAATTTAGACTACTTTCAACCATTTTTTCAACATTAAATTCTAATTGTTCATCTGTCATATTTAAATGAAATCTTTCACGTAAACCTAATGTTACATTTCCTTTTGAAAAACAATTTAATTGTGAACCTAATTTTAAACAAAAAGCAAAAAGATAAAACATTAGTTATAGATATATATTTTTTTTTCTGTTTACCATGTTGCATTATTTCTACAATAGGCATTAATTTATCCATATGTTTTCTAGCAGCTAATAAACCTCGAAGTATAAGTATTTTATAATAACTATACATATCACTTTGTAATCCACCCATAATATCAACAAATTCTTGTGTTATTTTAAATGGTGAACTTTCAAAACCGAGATTTTTCGGTGTTGCTGATAACATATAACCAAAATCAATATGAATAACATGACCTTCATCATCTAATAAAATATTTCCATTATGTCTAGAATAAATATGAATAAAATTGAGAAATATTTTATTATAAACTTTTTATGAAGACATTGAATTCATTGTACAAACTGAGTATAGTCGTGAGGAGATGTTAATAGAGCCTTCAAAACACGTCAGTATGTACAATGAATATCAAAGAATAAAATTCATCATTCAAAAAAATTCTATTGTGTTCAATTTAATTTACTGGTAGAAAATTCAAAGAGCTCCGATCACTTCTAAAACTGATTCCGATGTAGGTCTTTAGTAATCTTATCCCTCTTAATCTACTTGAACCATAGAAATAGTATTGCCTATGTAGGATACTGTTGAAGATTTTTCATAGCGATTTTCTACTTTGTTAAAAGATTAGAGCGTCTTCGTCATCGAAATTCACCGTCTCATAAAATTTCACTTCTCTGCTAAATGTTTTTCAATACTATAAACCTCATATAGACACTAAAGAAAACAGTCGCCAGCAGTACATGTCTTACATAGAAAACCTCTTCAGGTAATAGAATAATGTCAGAGAAACGATAGGTATGAACAAATTTATACCTATATAGTGAAATTTCTCTAGTTCTAATAGAAAAAGTAAAATACTAGAATTTTGTTTTCTGCATATGACTAGACAGTATCAATATGCATTCAGAGTTTCAGTTCATTATCATGTAATAGCTTTTAGGAATCCAACTTTGAATTCATTCGTCTGTAGTGTATTCGTATGAAGAAGACAAGGAAGTAGGTCCCGAATCCGACCCGACTTGAGTCCATAATTTTTCTATTGGTCGAAACCAATTCAATGAATGCTATTCTAAAAGTAAGAATCAATTATAACTTTATTCTTAAAGATCATCGTCAAGATTGTCAAGGCAATCTGTAAGAATGCGAAATACAAATTCATACTGTTTCAGAGTGACTAACTTGTTTATTTGATCTTCATCTATAGTTTCTTACCGATCTTTAACTTGTAATAAATAACAAACAATCGAATAAGCAGCACAACTTTGTACAAAATTTTTAACAGCTGTTAAAAATTCTTCACTTCTTTCTGTACCAAATTCACGTAGGAAATAATTTCTTAATGATAATTTTGAATTCTTTTTTATTTGATGAAGTGATACTGCATTTAAAATTGGCTCAATTAAACCTACAAATAATCAATTCATATTCAATTATATGAAAATAAAAAGAACATATATATATCTGTATTTTATTTACCACTATTATTTGATAAGACAAGAATATTAATTGGACGTACGAATACAGGTACATGTTCATTTGCCCAAA